TTCCTTCTGGATTTTTCTTGTTTTCCCCTTCATTTCTTTTTCCTCACTTTTCTTTCCAGCTTCCCAACACCCCACAACTGTGCTGCCTCGGGGCCACCCAGCTTGAGATTTTCTCACTGCTCATCCAAAATAGCTTTCAGCTTTATGACTCTAATTAAGTTGTTATTCCTAAAAGAAGAGAAACACACATAGCACTCCCCCATCTTTACCCTCCATGAGCTCAGCATTATGAAAATTGTAGTAAAAATATGAGAGCTAGTAATGCTGGGGGTACTCTTTTATTCATTAATGCATAGAAACATCTGAATTTATGAATAATTTTTATTGAAGATTTTCAGTGTGTATTAATTAGATACCTGGTCAGCTTTTGAACAACAGAAGCATATTCAATTTGCTTTGATGGAGAGGGCATATGCAAAAACTTTTGGTCTGTCCCGTGTGTTTTTGTTCTTAAAACATGAATTCAAAAAGGTTTCCGACCTCACTGTAATCAGAATATAACCAATTATATGACTCCATTCATAGCTTTCATTTCCTACTTTTAGGGAAAGGATTTATTCTTTCTCAGCTTCCTTTGCTCTCACTTTCTACCCCAGCTTCTTCCCCACCATTAGCCGCCCTTTCTCACTTGTGGTGAGAGAATAAACCTAGGTAATCACAGAATCACAGAATCCTTAAGGTTGGAAGGGACCTCTGGAGATCATCTAGTTCAACCTCCCTGCACCTGCAGGGTCACCTGTAGGTGCATGGGGCACAGGGCTGTGTCCAAGTGGGGTTTGAAGATCTCCAGAGAAGGAGACTCCACAACCTCTCTGGGCAGCCTGTTCCAGGGCTCTGTCACCCTCACTGTCAAGATTTTTTCCCTTAAGTTCCTGTGGAACTTTTGATGCTTGAATTTGTGGCCCTTTCCTCTTGTCCTGCCGCTGGCCACCACTGAAAGAGGCCAACTCCGTCCTCCTCATTCCCTCCCTTGAGGTATTTATATACACTGAGGCTCTATAAACTGCTGTTCTTTCCTTTTTGGTCATCTGTGCTCCCAAATGGAAAGCATAATTTCTTACATATTTCTTAGATATAAGAAAGAGAGTGTCCATAGTATCCAACTTCAAAGAGGTGAATATTAAGACCTTAAATGCTTCAAGACAGTCAAGGGGAAACAAAAGTATCCACAACAGTTAGGAAGTTTTGCATTGGTTCCAGGTACTCTCCTGTAAAAAAAAAAAATAAATAAATAAGAAAGAAAGAAGAAGAAAAGAAAAAGGTAAAAGTATTTTCAGGTGCCTAAGGTGTCAGTGACCTGTGGCTGGTCCTAGCTGGACAGCCTGTGGCTGATCCTGCTCCAAATGGCTCCACATGGCCCATATGGCTCCACATGGCCCACGTGGTTTTCTAATGAAAGCATCAGACTAATCTCCAAGACATGAAATATGTTGGGACTTTTCTTGGACTGTCTTGTTTCTCACTGCAAGGACAGATTCTTGAATTTTAAGCTGTTTACTAGGACAACAGGGACAAGGATTTGGAGGATCCAGGCTTCAGCCTGTGAAAGTTGCTTAGGTAAGTTTAGGCATGGCAAGTTCTTCCATTTCTCCTATTTTGCATCCCATGCATTCCTTCCTAGTAAGTGAAAGCTAGTCTTTTTTATATGGCTTGCCAGTGCCTGTGCTAGTGATCAGTTCTCTTTACTGCTCTTTTTTGCTATTTTGCCACAAATGCAAAGAATTGTAATGCCTGAGACTTCTTGTCCTCTGCTAGCTTTCCTATTATTTCTCCTTTCCATGAAGGAGTGTAAGAGAGATGCAATTAAATTTAAAAAATATCTGACAGAAATATGTTTGTTTACCAGTTACAAGTGTCACAGTATATTCAGCACCAGGCGTGTGAAGGAAAACATTTATTTTTGCGGAGTTTCACATTACCTAAGCTGTATGTCTGACTGCTCCTGCTTTCCCTTGTTCTCCCTGTCATGAAAAAAAGTCCTGGAGGAATATGGAAGGTGGGAATGTATTTACAGAAAAGGAAGAAAGGATTCTGTGGCTTAAAAACAACAATATGTTATGGTGGGAGGCCTGTGTGATTTACCCTTTTAAAGCCTGACTGGTTTTAAAGAAGATGATGTGCAGCAGAGCATAGTGGCCTCCTAAGCATCGGCACTGCGCAATGCAGGTGATACAAATCCTTGATCTTCTACACCACAATTTGTGAGAGGCGTGTTCTCCAGAAGTACAAACGGTTAATAAAAAGCAGGTCCTGCTGCTTAGTGGATGACTGAGTGTGAATAGAAAGTGTTTGCAGATTGCTTGGTGAAAAAAATAGCCTGAAAGGGAGCGCTGTGTTTTTTCACACCTTTCCTCCAGAAGGGCCGTGGGGTAGAGGCTCTGCAGAGCAGCGCAGAGCACGGCTGGTGAGGCAGAGGAGGGGACAGCTAGTGAAGGACACGTCAAGATTCCTGATATAACATGTGAAAAAAATGCTGGAAGCCTAAGGAGAAGCTGAAAGATTGCGGAGGGGAAATGGCCCCAGTGGAATCTGCACTCCTGCCATGAGCTTTCTGAGAGCTGGAATTATAGTTCCCGATTTAGTAACATTTCAGGAGGCCAGAGAAGTTCTAAAAAGTCGGTGTTGTTCTACAGAGACGGGAGCTGAGCTAGTAACCACACACTGACAGCACTGGGAGTGGAGGCGAGCAGCAGCAATGCTTTAAATTATATAAGTAAAATCTGGTGAAAAGCCAGGATATCTAAATATATTTTACATTCCTTCAAAGCATATTATTTTCATATTGTTCTAATCCTATTTTCTTCTTTGTATAGAAATTGCACTGGTTTAAGTTGAGGTGGTTCAAATATTAGTTTAATTGAACACCCACATAGGTGGTGAGGCTTCCATTTCGATGTCTTAATTTTTCTTGAATTAAACCTTATTAATTGAACGGGACCAAATATTTTTTATTTTGATTAAATCCATATTTTTTTGTTTCAAATGTGAATTTATTTTAATTCATGTATGCTGTCAAAATAGCTCAACTTTATACATAGGGTTGCTGTCATTTCTTCCATTCTCATCTGAGCTTTTCATCATTCATATCAAAACAAATGTAAAGGCTATCACCCCCTAGAAATGTGTCAAACCTAGGAGGTACACAGGAAATTGCAAGATTTTTAGTGTCATTCTGAAAATTAGTGGTTTGGTGCATGCTGTGGGAGAGGTGGTAATTTTAGAGGAACTTGACTGAAGTGAAGAGATGTTTGAAGCTTGGTGGGAGTATGGGGTGGGAAGATAGGCAGGATGTGTCTTGTGGACAAAAAAAAACAAGATAGGAAATAAGTGAGATTATAAAAAGGTTGCTGAGACTGATACACTAATAGAACATACACTGAGTAGGAATATAGTAAAAAAAAACTCCACCAAATATTTACTTATTAGATTTTGGTGTTCATGTACTATATGGTGTCAGATAAGAATATGAATTGGAATGGGGATGTGCTGAAACTGAATTTAAGTTTAAATGCACTGCCTAAAGAAAAAGCCATTCTAGCAATATCTTTGTCTCTTTTTTTTTTCCTGATATTTATTCCCTCTACTTCTTCTCTTGTTTGCCTCCTTTTTCATCTGCTCTATCTTTAAAATAGTTTTAATGACAAGTCTTACTCTGCAGGAGAGTCACGACATACACCACTATGTATCTTCCTTGAGAATTCCTAGAGAGACTCTTCGCTGCTGTAGATGCCAAAGTCTTCTGGCATATATCCAGTATTCTGGCATATATCTGGCATATATCCAAGAAGCATGATAAAAGTTTTTAACCTTTAGATACCAATCCCTGCTAGTTGAGGGGGGATTTGTTTGTTTGCTTTCTATGCAAATGACTGGAGAAACCTGTCTGATCTCATTAGTTAATTTTTCCTTTTTTATTTTTTAGTCTGTAAATGCTTACTTTTCCCCTCTTTCCATGAGTGGCATGATCCAGTTCATTTGGAGTACTACCAACTATTGCTTGGATCTTTAAAAATGCTTTATGTGCAGTTTTCCTATGTGTAATGTTGACATGAAATTCTATTTGTGAAAATATTTTGTTCAAGTAGTAGTGTATTATTTAATTATACGACGTTACAGAAATATAAATAAAAGTAGTCCTTTAGAATCTTCTTATAAGCATTCATCAGGAAAGGATTGCCCTTGTTTTCCTTAAAAGTAGTCAAATATCTAATTTGTTCTTAATTCTTGTCAAAAAAATGTTCAAAAGTCAATCCTTCTAGGTTTGGGGAAAGTTGCTTAAGAACATTAGTAAAGAAATAGTCATCAGAATGGAAACTTTAAACCTGTTTTTTGTTAAAAAAGTCACAGTAGTGCATGTGAATTAAAAGCTATTGTAAGGAAATCTCAAATAAGATCACAAAACTACGTAACCCAATCCTGGCTATTCATATTTGGATGAATATGTGGAAAAGGATAATCCTTTTATCCAATGCTAGAAGAATAGTTACCAGCTCACCTGATTATTTGAATATGTGCCTTCAAACAGACCTTACATACGTTACATTGGGTATATGATGGAGACTCCGTTCCACCATAAAAGTTTCATTCTGTTAGGGAGATTTTGCTGTAATAACTACATTTAATTCAGCTTACAAAACCATTACCTAGTTTAATGGCTGTCAAAGAATATGAATGTGAGCTCCAAAAGCAAATTACTTATTCGGTAACTACTGAATGGTACCTTGTGCCCAAACAAAAGGCATTTACCTCATACTTCATGTAATAAATGTGACAGTTACGGCTTTTCGTCTTATCTCGCTCTTCCTGCAGTGTCCATAAAAGAGTTTCTCACTTGTAACAGATGCTCAGAGCAGGGCTTTGAAATTTATCTGGAGATGAAACCCTGTTGATTCCATTAAAAACAGTTTTCATGCAGATGGAGACAAGGCAGGATTTATTGTTTTTGCAGTTGTGGCAGTGAGGTATTTCACACAACGCCTTCCTTTTCTTTCCTCTTGCAGGTGATGTGCCTTCAGGATTTCTTTGGTGATGATGACATTTTTATTGCATGTGGACCAGAAAAGTTCCGTTACCAGGACGATTTCTTGCTGGATGAAAGTGGTAAGGAGATGTCTTCTAAAAATATTTACAACCAGAGCAGGGGGCAGCTTTTCCTATCATGCTAAATTAAGCTCAAACTGTATCACCTGAACTGTTTTGAGAAGCAGAATAAATATTTTTATCCTTTAAATTCTGAATACCGAAAACAAGCAATGGAAAGCAATAAAGATGTGAAGGGAAAAATATCTGCCAATGCAGCATAAAGCTTTACCTCAGCTTGAATTTGATGTACAAATAGAAATAGTAATAGTGTTTTATGAAACTCCTTTTTCTATGAAGTCTCCCCTATTGTTTAGGCTTTGTTTTCTCTATGAGTTTATTCTAGTTCTCTACCACAATCTCCCTGTTTTTATAATCCAGGTTTAGGTAATGCTCTTAAGTAATGTGATATAGGAAGTTACAATTCTATATGGAAGATAAATGTAATCAATATATGCAGACAGAGTCACCTAAGAAAAGTTCTGTTTTCTTAGATACTAACACGGGAATTGAGTACATAATCCTAAAAGGAAAATACAGACTTGTGTCTGCCATCATTGTGTATTCTTAATTATGAACTACAGGAATAAGAAAAAGCTACAAGGTTTGTGCAATAAAAATTAAGAAAAGGGAGAAAGAGCGAGCTACTAGTTTTTGTGTAGGTTGGATTTTTGTCTAGGTTTTGTGTATAGCAAGACTCAGAAAAAATTTTATTCCTCCCACACTCTCTCAATCCAAGCTATGTCTGCAGTTCTTTGTTATAAATTCCTCTTGTCTTCTGGAAGGACAGTTCACATAATAAAAATTTGCTGTAACAGTAGCCTCCTGAGTGCATGGACAGCTTCACAACTTTATCACTATTTTCTGATGCAAATATACATTCAAAATGAAAGATGATGCAATTGTATTTTCATAATCTGTGTAATTTTTGGTTTATCTCGCTCCAGCAAAATGTTCCATAACTTGTGTAGTGACAGAAAAGCCTGTGCAGTGTTTGTATCACAAGCTGAAAGCCAAACCTAAAAGCAGTTTTTTGCTAATGAACAAGGGAATGGTACTTTGTATTAGTCACAGGCCAAAGTAAGCATGCATTATATGCTCCTCTGGAGGATTTTGGAATATGGAAACAAAAATCATATTGTGTAAAATCATTTCAGTAATGAAATATGGTGTAGCAGGGAGTTGGCCCAGGTGTGAATACGGCCAGCACTGCCATCCTTGCCTTTCAGAGGAGAGACAGCTGAGGCTGACAGGCTTCAGTTTTGTGTCATCTCTGAAAGATGCCACTTGCCCCTTCACGAAGTCTCATCACTGAATCCTGTCTCTTCTAGAGCCGACTCAAGGAGAGGTGCTGACAAGTCACCCCTGTAAACCCCTTTTTGAAGTAGATGATAGCTCTTTTTGGGAGGTCTCATGTCAAAATACAGATATAGCCTATCTGTGCCTTGCCTTTATTTCTCTGATACATTGTCATCTCTAAAATTTGTGCTTAAACCTATATTCTGTTGAGGCAAAATAAAAAAAAAAAAATTTTAAAACTCCAAGTTGAGAATATAATTTTACCAAGGTGTTTGATGTTTGCTTTTCTAGACCTGCAATGAATATTAACTATGTTGAGAACAGGAGGTAATACAAGAAATCAGATCCAAACTATTTTCTAATTTATTTGCAGAGCGTGCATCATCTTTGGTGTACGCTTTTGGGGGAAGTTTGGTATCAGAAAGTTTAAGCAGCTTTGCACGCACAGCTATTGTGCCAATCGACATAGATGCAGTCAGCCTTCTCTGAGGTCTCAAGTTGTCCCAGTAAAAGGAGCAAGATTGAGAGAGGAAAAAAAAAAAAAAAAAAAAAGCTTTTGGTTCATTTTCCTTGGAGAATGAAGTTTCTGTGACCATGCTCCATATATGAGTATACCTCTTAGTTAATCTAAGAACATTAAAACTATTAATCCAACTTGGAAAGTTCATCTATACTTCCCTGGAAAGGAACTTTTTCCATCCTTTTTCCATCTTCCTTTTTCTCACCTCCAGTGTCTTCCAGTTTCACCCAGATGATTATTCGTGGAGAATAACAGTTGTGGTGGTGCAACTGAAGCTGCTAGAAAAGCAGAAATTGAATGTGGAAAAAAAAAGGACAGAAAAATACTTAAACCATTAAGGTTCTGATATTTTTGGTGATTATTTATCAGGAAGAAGGAATGTCATTGTTTACAGTCCAGATTCAGAGTTCCTGACACAAGAAGTGCAAAGTAGAATTCCTAGGACCGACAAATCTATCACTTTTACTGAGTTTTAGCTGTTTTAAGTACCAAGAGAGCTTCTACCTCTTTTACAATTGAGCCAGTCCCACTAGTCCCTTCCTCAGCTGGTGAAACGTAGTCGATACGTCCTCTCAGTCAATGGTAGATGTCACCACAGGTGAAATGAACTGTGACCCAGCAATGTGTGTTTTGCTTTGAAAGGATTCTTATAGGCCCAGGCCTTAAATGTTCTTATCTAGACTGTATTTATCCAAAACCATTGAAATAATTTTCACTGCAAGAATAATTTCACCCCATCCATGTGGGGTGGAATATCTCAGTATATGCTCCTAAGCATTTTTTTTTCAAGATACAGTTTTTCATAGCTTGTTCTGACTCAAGGATGCCTAAAGATGTAAAATCAGAAACTTAGACAAAAATGATGCAGAAGTTAGTGAATCAGTCTCCCTGGTTAAGTGTGGGATTATCATTACCTGTTCCATTTCTGACAGATACTTGTCCAAGCTGCTGCTTAAAAGCTTCTGATAATGAAGATCCTACAACCTCCTGTGACCTTTTGTTACAAACGCTCTTTGCCATTTTTATGCTCTCTTATCTTGCTGTAAATGAAGCTTAATGCTACTGTTCTTCTACTCATGGTCATGGGAAACAAGTGATTCCCTTTTTGTTTGAAAAATCATTTGACTGCTATGAACCCAATCAGTTTTTTCTTCTTTAGGATTAGCAATTAGTTCAAGATTTCTTTGTTTTGACTGCAGGATGAAACTTCTCCTTGAAACAGGGGATCTGTTCCCTTTTTGTATTGTCTCTCTTGCCTGTTTTATGTCTTTCGGGAAGAGGCATCACATATCCCCTTGGCAATCAATGGAGAAAACTCGGTTAATTAAGGGCCCATCAAAGAGCATAATAAGCAGTTGGCTTCTACAGTTTATTTTATTCTCTCTTCCTTGAAGTTAAAATATACAGATGGTTTTCATATTAAACACACTGTTTATCACTTGCAATATAGTATCAATAGGCATCCATCATCATTTCTGGTATTCATTATCATATCTGACCTAATTTTTAGATATAACAGCAACGCATATTTGCATGAATAGAAGTTTAGATGGATCAAGGAAATACATGGGAATGACCATAAGATTAAGAAATAAATACTCTTTGTCATCCGTGTCATCAGTGGTGATGCTGTGTTTATAGAAAGCTTTTTTTTTGGAGGAGAGGGAGGAATAATAAGCCAAAAAATCATATTAATGAAAGACACATTACATCAGACAGTTTGCAGGATGAAAATTTCCTTAGTTTAGGATATGGCAATGGCTGCTGCAGGCATTGTTAGCGTGTAGTCTTGGGAACTTTCCCAGAAATTCCAGGTTTGCTTTCATTGATGGCAATTCAGTTTTCAAATAAAAGAAGTCGTTAGAGGATGCATTTCTGTAGACCCCCAGTTGCATGTTGGCAGAGATCAGGATTTAAGGGCCACATTCATAAAAATACTTACGATTAGCTATTATTTAGACATCTAAGTAGGATTTGGGAATGTAAATAACGCATGAAACTGGTCTTAAATAAGAACATCTCCTTGGCTTAAACAAATACTTCTTAGTACTGTGAAATATGAGAGTTCTGAGATCTGCAATATCAAAATTAAATTTCAAAACATTAAATGATTTTTATGCTTTGTTAATGTTGGCCGAGTGCTCTGAAAGCGTAGAGTCACACAGTCTAACTCTTAACTGTGACAGACTTCATCACATACTGAGATGCATCATGTAAAAAGGCTGCAGTAAAGACAGGCCAAATTCATTTTCTGCCTCCAAGCAGAGCGTAACCAATATAGAATGTCTGGACGTGAAAACAACTTGAGATCACTTGTCAAGAGCGCATATTACTGCTATGGAAACAGTGATGAGAATGACTCTCTTCGAGGGGAAAGCTCAGATTGGGATCTTCGAGACCTGATTTCACTTTGACTCGCTGGCCCGTGCTAGTCCTCAGCGCAGCAGCCCTGTGCCAGCAGTTTGACTGCAGCATCTTTCCAGCAAGAGAGGGCTTGCCAGGAAAATCTGAATCCTGTAGTGTCCGTGCACGTGTATGTATGTGCAGAGGGATGCACACACATGTGATTCAACAACTGTGGTTAAGGTCAGGAGTATTGTGTTTAACCCCGCTAGTAACTGTCAGGTTTCTGTAGCCTTGATTGCTCCATCCTTCCTTCCTTCCTAAAAACAGGGGAAATCAGTTTTAACCCTCTTCTGTGCTGATTTATAGGACAAAGACTGATGCACAAAGCATTTTTTGGGCCCAAATTTTGAGTGCAGAGGATGCTGTCTGACTTACTCAGCCCCCACCAAAAGCTCATGCATTGGCAATGGGAAAATAATGATAGGTTCTAGGGACGTCAAGATATAACTTTGCTTTCAGCACAGGCATAAATATAATGTGTCCCAGTGCAGTGTGATATTTTCAAATGTCAACAACTGCTGGGCCTAAGAGACAGATATTCTGTGTGTGAGGCAGAAACAAACTGAGGCACAAGGGACGACTCCTCAGGCAATAGATACCATTTATACTTACATTTTTACCTTGCTGCCATGTCCTGGGTGAGCCCACAACACTCTAGTTCTTTCCCGCTGCGTTTCTCTTTCACTTACTTGCCTTTCTCACAGTAAGGACATTAGTGGGGTGTCTATTTGCTTCATCGGATGAGTTTCACGACTTAAAGAAAGCTGATAGAAATATCCTGGAGATGACCTCTACG